TAAATATTCGCCTATTTCTTATTAGCCAAAAGCATATAACAAAAAAAAAAGCAATAAAATAACTTGTACCTGGTTATCTGAACATTGAAAATAACTTCTGATTCCCAACAATTGGAATCCTAGAGGGCTGGGAATCAATTTGCTCATTTTACAAGCAAATACATGGAGGCCTAGAAAGATTAAATAGTAAACATCCAAAAAAACAAAAGGTTTAATATGTAACTACCAGATAATAGAATTGGTATTTTCATTCTGCTTTGTTTGGCTGTTTTTGGTGTGATGAGATATAGAGAATAAAACAATCTGTTTTGGGCATTTAAAAGTTTCAGTCAAGGAAGTGTATAACTTAGCTGGGTGTGGTGGCACATGCCTATAATCCCAGCACTGGGGAGGCTGAGGCAGGAGGACTGCCTTGAGTTCGAGGCCAGCCTGGGGTACAAAGGGAGTTCAAGGTCAGCCTGAACTGCATAGTGAGACCCTGTCTCAAAACGAATATATATAACTTTCTTTTTTTTTTTTTTTGGTTTTTCTCCAGTACCGGGAACCGAACTCACGACCTTGCGCTTGCCAGGCAGGCGCTTTTGCCGCTGAGCTAAATCCCCAGCCCCTATATATAACTTTCTAAATGACTATTATTACCTGACTTAAATAATTTGTAAGATGTACATAGGTGGAAGTTTAATAAGCTTAACTTACCCCTATATTATTTAGTTTTTCATTTGTCCTAGCACCGAGGATCACAGTCAACAAGACAATATGCTGTGGAGAAGGTAGCTAAATAAGGTGAGAAATGATAACTATTCAGAGCAAGTGCCAAATTCTGTTTCTGTCAATCATGTCTTCATATTACCCATCACTTTCTGACCTGGCAAAAAGTCAGTCTGCAGTCTATCAATTCGTGCCTACTCTGGGTGACTTCAAGACATGCTCTAGTGGCCCTGCCAATAGATAAGCATTGAATCAGTACCCCAATTTTTAATAGCTAGCCTAAAATTATTTTTTAGAAATAACCTAGTTTAACATACTATTTTTCAAACTGAGTACTGTAATCTGATATGGGGTGATGAAACCAATTTAGTATATCATAATCAGCATTTTAAAAAGCAAACATAAGAAGTATAAAAATGGAACATATTATAAGCTATAATAAATATCTCATACAAATATTTAATTATTTAAATATATTACATATTCACACACAAGGGTATATAAAACATGTGTACCTGAATATGTATGCTGGGTGATATTACAGATGTATTTTTCATTGTAACTCAGAATGTTAAAATTTACAGCATCTCAAAATAGAACAGTTATATACTGCTGAGAGTAATTTTTTTTTTTTTTTTTTTTTTTTTTTTTCCCCGGTACCGGGCATTGAACTCATGACCTCGCACTTGCCAGGCAGATGCTGTGCCACTGAGCTAAATCTCCAGCCCCTGCAAGTAATTTTTTTATAAATCAAGAAGCATTATTTATTCTTTATGATATAATCACCCCTTTAGAATTGGGATCATGTAACCATTCAAAAACAATCACAGTGAAGAGAAATGCTAATAGACTTCATCTTATACATTGTTTTTTATAGCCTCTGCTCATATCGAATAGCCTTTAATCCAAACATGCTTTCTAATGCAAATATCCTTTCATTCTCTTCTTCCTCCTCCCCCAATGGCTGCTTTCTTTCTGTCTACATTGCTAGTTCTCCCTTAACCTTCCACCTCTTAATTGTGGAAATTTTATCTTTGTCCTTGGAACACTGCAATTTCTTCTTCACAATTTTCCCTTGTAGAAAATCTATCCATTTGCATGGCTTCAAGTAATACTTTTATCTCTGGCTTCTACGTGCTTCTAAACTAGTGTAAAAGGCATGCACTTATGCCCTTTAAACTATTCCCTTTACCTAGAAGAAGGAGGAGGAGAATATAGTTTAAAAATGTGCTTTCTTGTTTATAGTTTGAAGGGAGTGACTTGCTAAGAAGAACAAACCAATAAAAAGGGATTTTAAATACGTTTATTCAGTTATCCTCATTGCAATCATTACTGAAGCAACGTCTAAAGAGTTAGGATTCATTCTGTAATTGTAGAGATTTGCCACAAAATCGAGAGGGATATATTACTTCTACAAAGATAGGAAAATTCAGTTGTCATAGCACATGTCTGTAATCCCAGCTACTCAGGAGGTTGAGGCAAAGGATCAGGTCATCTTAGGCAACTTAATGACACCCTGTCTCAAAAAAAAAAAAAAAAGACTGGAGGAAAATAAATGAGGATGAGAATACATATTTTAGGGAATTGTGGCCTTTATTTTTATTTGTAAAGTAGGGAATATAATGAGCAAGATGAAAACAGTTAAGAATTGGGAAAATGGGTTGGGAGGGCTCAATGGTAAAGCACCTGTCTTACATACATGAAGCCACAGATTTAATCCCCAGGACTTCCAAAAAAGAAAAAAAAAATCATGAGAATGACATAAAACTTACAACTGCACTCTGGATCATGGAAACAAGCACTGATTAGGAACCACAGGCAGTTTTAGAGACATAGTTGAGGGTGCAACAATAAATTTATAGTGGTTCTAATTTACTCTGCTCCTGTCCTAAATAGTCCTAGGGGAAGGCATGAAGATGGTAAAGGCTGGAATGGTTGAGTTTTGCTAGGCAGCTGCAATATAAAGCAATGAGGTAAAGAGATGAAAAGAACAGAGGACAAAATGTTTAAAATGACTGATAAGGAGTTCTGGGAGAAACATGATCCACTAGAATAAAATGCAGGAGTTAAGGAACTTGAGCTCTGTAAGATGGAAAAACATATGCTAAAGGAATAGAGGAGTAAAAAAATTAACAGCTGGGATATATGGTCACAGACTCTTATATTAAAATTCAATATTTTTAGAGGAGAGTAATTTTGGTTGATGAGTATGGCCATGGGAGTATCTGACCAAAAGAGAGTAGAATTATAAACTGGTTCTCCCTAGCTGGGCATGGTGGCTCACACTGTAATCCCAGAACTTGGGAGGCTGAGGAAGGAAGACTGTCACAAGTTTGAGGCCAGCCTGGGCTATATAGTGAGTCTGAGGCCAGCCTGGGCTATACAGTGAGTCTAAAGCCAGCCTGGAGTGCAAGACTCTGTCTCAAAAAAAAAAAAAAAAAAAATTAAGGGTTATAGAAAAAATTAACAGAGACATTGATTATTGGGAGTCTAAATTTTGGATAAGCAAGCAAGAAGAAAATACAGAGGAATGACAGAAAGTAGAATGCTCTATAAAATATCAGATGATTAGAAGACCAATTTTACACGCAATTTTTAGAAATACTGATTTAGGAGAATAATGATCATTAAAAGAATGTTGTACTTAATTACCCATCTTCTGGCAGTCCTTCTTACTGCCTCTTCTTACCTCTCTTCATCTCCCACCTCCCACTATGCCATAAAAAAGAACAATCAGCCTCCACTTGAGGGGGCTGCTGAAGGATACCTGAATAAGATGCTCCTAGAAGTTGTGGACAAGCTAGAAAGAAAAAATCACCCTATGAAATAGAAACTAGTAATATTATGAGACTTCATCCTTAGACTAACCCGTACTAGTATTAAAATAAGAGTTATTAAAGCTATTAAAATAAGAGTTATTAAAATAACCCATGCTAGTATTAAAATAAGAGTATTTTCAAAGCCTTGGCCAAGGGATAAGGTATATTCTTAAAAGTCGTATGTCTTAGAAAATTAAAATCTTATCTAATTTAATAAAAGCTTAGCATGAATATAATTTAAATACTAAGTATGAAAAGAAAAATATAAAATACTTTTATATTTTTATATAAATAAAGTTACAGTAAAAATTTTATCCATTGTTATAGTCTGAACATGGTTTTTATCCTCCAAAACTTATGCAGCAGATTAATATCTACTACTGGTTATTGTCTGTCCCTTCCCAAGCCTATGTTAAAGATTTATCTCCATTGTAATGTATTCAAAGGGTGGAAATTTAATCCAATTACGGTGTTTAAAGTTGGGAACTTTGGGAGGTGCTTAGAATTAAATAAGGTTATCGGGAGCATCCATAACTCTAGTGGTTTTACAAAAAGGAGGAAATATCAAAAGACATATACACTACACATACATCTTTCCATGTGCTGCTCTCCACTGCCTCTGAACTCCACCAGCAAGAAGATGTTATCAACAGATGGGGCCTCATGAACTTGGACCTCCAAAATGGTGAGCGAAAATAAACTTTTCTTGAAAAGTTACCCAGCCTATGGCGTTGTGTTTCCAGCAAGAGAAAATGACTAAGAATTCATTATTGTTCAACAAATGGATACATTACATCTAAGAGGTATACTAGTTATTATGGTATAAATTTAGCAATTTAACAGGGATTATATGTAAGGTTTTTCAGAGCTTGGATAAACTGTCCTTTTGTATCTTACTCACTTTGTTCTGATTCTGTACTCATTAAATCACCTGATGATCACTAGGTTTCAAAGGAATTATGATGCCTAAGGCAGTGCTCTAGAGCACAGGTCTCAAAATTTTTCATTAAAAAGACCATTTTACTAATCTATATTATGTATATTACAACATATATACATAAAATATTGAAAAGGGTTATACATAAATAAACAGAAGTTTTAGTATGTTCTTCTCATACTCCAATGCTATAATATAGATGCCACTTTAGCAATCGATCTTCTAGACAGTGAAAAGGCATAAATCTGACTAAGTTATAATCTGGAACTATATAAAATAGTTTTATACAAGATGATAAGATCAAGTTTCTGATTCTTAAAGAACTGAAATCTTTACAATTCCAAGATAGTAGGACAATGAACACATAAAGTTTCAACATTTAGGTACCAGACATGTTCCTATATGAGCTAAACAAAATACTCTTCTAGTGAAGAAAAGCACACCTCAATCAAACAACACTGATCGGAAGTCGAAACAATGACACTATGGAGTTTCTCTTTCCCTCGAAGTGGAAATTATCTCTAGTGACTACTCACCTGAATAAAACGTGTTGATTTTGGCAAGTTCCTTTTCACAGGTTTGGAAAAATTTTTCTTCAAATTTGGCAAAATACCTCTTAACTGTGTCCTCATCTGTAACTGAAAGGCAAGAAAAATAATACTTAATGTCAGAAGGCTAACTGGGAAAACCAGGGAAATAAAAATTATTATTTTCTTACTCTTCAAAATGACAATTTCTACATGTATTTCTCTGAAGAAATAAAGAATTGTGAACTATATCAAGATGACATTAATCAAAGTCCTCTTCAGAGGAACTCAACCCTTTAGTTGAATGATATTCTCTAAAGCTGTACTACTGTAAAACTTACAATGTTGGAGCAAAACGTGGTCTAATACCAAAAGAAGAAGAAATTGCTGTAGATAAGGGTAATCAAAGAAGATTCAAGGTTTTGGGAGATGAGCCTAGTAGGATTCATTTAGCAACAAATTGAGTATTTCAAGGAAAGAAAAAAACACAAAAGCTAAGATATGAAAACCTGAGTGTGTAGCATGTTTCTAGGAAAAATAAGTTGATTTTATTTCATGCTAAATTTCTATCTACCATTTTTACGTTGGGTATATCAGACAGAGAAAGTGGTACAGACTGGTAAGTACAAATCAGATGTCCCAATGTTTCAGGAGCCGCACAAATAACAAAAACAAGTTGAGCAAGTGGATGACTGCAAGTGTGGTGATAAATGGTACCTAATAACTTCAAAATAAGAAGTAGTATACATTTTTGGCAAACTGAAAAGCATATGTCTGTCTAGTTGCTGGCACATGGTAATATGGGCCCAGTTTGTTATACCTTCGAATACTTTAGGAGATATCATAAATCCAGATATCTTAAATACATTGTGTGGGCCAATCAATATATTTCTATGTACTACTTCTACTTTGTGAATTTTGTCTTATTGCCTATCAATCTACTAAATCCCAAAAGCACAGAATACATGTACCTTCAGGATCCCCAAAACGAAAAGAATAAATTTTTCTCTAAGTGAAATTTCACTAGATTCTCCAGATGCCAATCATAATACAGAACTATCCTATTTCTGCATCTCTCAGATAGGTACTCATTGAAATGTGTGGAAAAAGGATAGTGTCCTTTCCATAACCCAGAGCTCCTAAATCTTACTGCAATCCCAGAAACCCTTAAATAATAACCTGGCAAAGAGAAATGGTATTTCCTTCAGCAATATGTAAAACACTCATAACATACAAATTCATAGCACTAGAGTTTTTTTAAAAAGCAAAGCTGAAAATAAAGTTCTAAAAAGCATGTCAAATCTATTCAATTAATTTGAATAACATAAATGTAAGAAACAGCATGGCACAAAATTTTTACTTATATATGATTACTTCTCTATTTTATATGCTTTAGATCTAAGCACACAATGCATAATTCTATTGATTTTAAAGAAAAAAAGGGATGGCGACTTTAAGTTTCTCATGAAAATTTAGCAACTTAGGTGCAATTAAGGATATAGCTATACAAGGTCAATGAGAATTTTTCAAAGCATTAAGCAGGCCTCAGCTTTTTAAAGAAAAGGTGACCTTGAGTTAAGGCAGCTCCATGGTAACAGATGCTGCACTTCTAATAGCATCTATCTATAGCTGATTTAAAATAAGAGTTAATAGATGATTTTACTTAATTACTTTTTTCATTTTTATTTGATTCACTATTATTAAGGAAGAAAATTGAAAAGGAAAACATGGGTTTGGTCATATTTATACTTATCCCACATTAACAGACAATTTTCATTAATATAGTGACAAAGATAAAATTATTCAGTAAAGGGATTATTTAAAATACTTTCTGCTCATTATTTTAATATATATATAAAGGTTTATATAGCTAGGGTTAGGGCTCAACTATATAAAATATTACCAAGACCTTAAAAATAAAAACATCCAGGCCTCTGAGAAACTAAAACATATATAATAAACTTTGTGTAGTAAAACAAGCACATTCTACAATAAATCAATCTTCTATGAATTCTTCACTTTTTTATTTTAAAGAGAAAAAAATAAGAATAACAAAACAGTTTCAAAACAGGTTAGTAGGAGAGTTACAATAATTATACACTGCATATTGTTATCTTTGAGGTAACTATTCAGAGTATAAGATATAGGCACGATATCTTGTTCAAACTGCTTTATCTAAAATGCCAGCTGTCTGCAATCATTTTCTAACGAGTTAGAAGAGGTTACGGTAAGGTTACAGCAACACTGAGGAAAAATAGCTAACAAAGAAAAGGTGTGTGTATGGGGAACCTATAAACAAAATAATGAAGGATAGTGTTCTTGTACTCTAAGATTTTAAAAGACCTAGCAACATACTAAACCTGAAGTACACTACTGGGAAAGGAATTAGAAAAACACAAGAGAAAGAACACAGAGTCAGGAAATAGGTTGGCATATACTGTATAGGGAAATTTAGATTATATAGAGGGCTCCAAATCAGTAAGAGTGTATTATACCTGAAAAAGTCCTTCTTAAACATAATAAAACATGATAAAGGGAACGATACCACAAAATGAAATGCCTCCATTCTACTATGTACGATCAGTAAACTTAAAAGAGAAGCGTAAGACAGGGAAAATATACATGTGCAGTACTTACAGGATTCATACACAAAATTCTTTAGAAAATTCTTACAAATCAGTATTAAAATATAGTTAATGCTGTAAGAAAAATGGGCAATTTAGAGCCATTCAGAAAAAAATAATAAACGTCCAACAAAGAAATGTAAAAAAGATGTTCAACATCCAGATGTCATATAAATGCAACTTTTGAAAAATGGAATATAATTTTTAAACCATCAGACTAGAAACAATTTTAAAATAGTGATACCATTTTGGCAATGAGAAGGGTAAATGAACACTCTCACCTCTTGCCAACAGATATGTGAGTTTGTAAAATCTTTTACCAAGGCAATTTGGCAGTAGCTATCAAAATTTTTCAGTATGTTTAATTCCACTCACAGAAAATATATTCTAAAGAAATATCTGCACAAATCAATGTATTTTCAAGCACATTCACATCCCATTATTTTGAACAGTGATAAAGAAAGTGATGTTTAATATAGGGGGATGGTTAAATGATAACATTATGTACCACCACAGTAACTATAACAGTCATTTTTTAAAAAGTGGTATGAATACTACATCCTGGCATGTATGAAAAATCTCCAAGATACACTGTTAAGGGAAAAAAATTAATAATATGTGTAGCATGATCCCACTTATGAAAAATATGTACATAAATTAACATTCATTTATATATTCATAGAAAGAAAAATGGAAAGACATATCAAAATGTTAATTGTGGTTACCTCCTTTGAAAGAGAAGGATGAAAGAGTCTCATATTTTGTTATCTACAATTACTATACTGCTTGAATCCATTAAATGTTCATGAAAGAAAGAAAAATTATATTTTATAAATGAAGGATATTATTAACTGGAAGAGAAAAAGAGAAACTGCACTTCTAAATCTTCAGATTATACATAGTAAAATCTAACCAGCATAGCTAGTTGAAAAGACTATATTTGAACTTACAGGTACACTACACAGAATGATTAAGCCTTTCACTTCAGTTATGGGAGGTTGGTAGAATGCTGATTTACAGAACATCAGTTTCTATTATAAGGTGCTTCCTATAATCTACTTCCTGAATAATGTAGGAAAGCAGTAACTCTGAAATGGAGAACCAGAGAAATTCAGGGTTCACAATCAATTAGCCCAATTCTCTGATTTTGTAAGTGAAGAAACCAAAGTGCACAGAGTCTATACAACATGACTTACTTCCTCCTCTATATAACAAGTTTTATGGAAAAATGACGGTTTTTTTAATTACAAAAGAAAGAATACATGTTAACTATCTGAAAGTGAGCACTCACTTTTACAGTAGTACTACAGACTGAACTGTGCCTCCCCCAAATTCAAATGTTGAAACCCTAAATCTCAATGTGACTATATTTAAGGTAAAGGCCTTTAAAGACGTAAAGTTAAACCAGGCCTTCAGGTGGTGCCTTCATCCAGTAGGTGTCCTTGTAGGATGAGGAAGAAAGATCAGAGATCTTCCTTGTTCTCCAATCACACACAAAGGAAAGGCTATGTCTGCGGGCAAAGAGAGGCCTCACTAAAAATCAATCCTTTACCACCTTGATAATGGACTTTAAGCCTCCAAAACCATGAGAAAATAAATTTCTTCCTTTAAACCACAGTCTGTGGTATTCTGATATGCATCCTGATATGCAAGACTAATATGGGTTAAATATGTCCTGAATGCAGTAATCGGTCACAGTAATCACAAAACACTAAGCCTAGTTCAAAGAGAGCTGGTACAAGTTCAAATTTTAGCAAAATGCATCAACAATTCTAAGATTAGTATCGAAAGAAAAAGCTATAAAAAAAATCTCAAATCAGTGAATAACTCAGAGAACACTACTATAGGGTTACTTTTACTCTGAATTAAATAATTAAGTCAGAAAGATAGCAATACACATACACACACATACATATAAACACACTGATTTCTTTGTCATCTCTGTTGTGGTCTCACATTATGGAAGTGACAGATAGTTCTATCTATTCCCCCAAATTACTAAGTTAATAGAAAAGAACTAATCAAGATAAAATACTTCTACTACACAGCAATCACCAAATGTTTTTTACAGCAACTTTCGAAAGTATTTTAATTCTTGTATCATAAATGTCACCGAGCCTTCTCATGAAATCTCTGGGACAGAAAAAATGTGGGCTCTCCAAAATTAATTTTTTAAAATCTCTACTAATTCCACCATATAACTGTCATGTTCCATTCAAATTTTTAAAACTATTCTCAATTTCCTTAATTTCCAATCTGTGAGACATTGAGGGATTATGTCTCTTATTTTTATAGTTCATAGGCAACCTTCAGTTAAATCAGTATGGTGGAGATGCCACTACAAAAGGCCAGCAGCAATGTGTTCTTAATTCCTAGTACCTGCTACCGAATTGTGCCTTATTAAAACCAAATCATGGCTGCTGACATTTGCCAAAGGCCCCAAGTAAGTGGCACAGGAACGTCCTCCCTTCCCCCAGCACAATTATT